AAGCATTCACACACGGAAAACTGGGCAATTGGTTAATAGCTGAAACTGAATACACTGGAAAACTGGGAAACACTCCACTGTTTAGCCTTGTGTCGTAGGTGTTTAATATCTGTCTTTGTAGCACTTGAACTGATGCAGAGGCTTTTGGAAGATGCAGCAGGCATTTGTGGGCTTGCAGATTCAGTGGGGCAGGGAGGGGGAGCCCTGGACATAGTTGGTTAAGTGCCATCACAGTTTTTGGCTCGGGAAAGAGAAAAACAGCTCTAGTCCCATCTGACATCTATGGTGGTATGTGCTGATACTGCCTGCCAAAGATGAGCTTCAGCATCTTCCAAAAGATGGATTATGTGTGGCACTGTTAAAATATGTACTGCTGTGTTAAACCCATTGTATTTGGTTTGGGTTCTGCTCCTGTATTTCCATCTGAATTTTGATAGCCATAACATGCAGCTGGTTTTTGGTGAGTGCTGTATCACTGGAGAGGAGGGAGGCAGGTGAGGATGCTGGGCTTAGAATTCCCAAGGTCTGTCTAGCTGCTGGAGAAGCCACGAATCATCTGTATCTCAAGTTTTCCATCTATGAAATGGGAATGGTGATGGTGTCCTGTATCGGTGTTCAGAGGATTCGATAAGAAAATTTATACACTGCTTTGTGATTCCTACATGACAGGTGATAGATAGCAGGTTAAAGTGTGATAATCGTTACATCTGGGTAGCTGGACGTATCTGCGGGTCTAAAGAGACAATGTCTTTTTAGACATCTCTTCAATCAATGGTGATGACGATGTGGCTTTGGAAAAAAGTAGTTTATATTAAAATTGGCAGTGAAAATGTTTCCCAGGCTAGTTTATAATCTCTTAAGTGCAGTGACATGGGGAAATGCTTAAGCTGTAAGAAGGAATGTATGGCATGGCTGATTAGTCACTGCGGAGCCTCTGCAGCCTGCCCGGGCTCCTTGGGATAATGGTGAACCAGGAATCCCAAGCAGCCCTCTAATCCATGTGCTGATTGACAAGGTCGGCACATCAGAAGAAGAAAAAAAGAGGGGGATGGGGAAAGACAGAAGCGATGTGTTGGATCAGGAAGTTAAAATGGTAAGAGCATTTGTCTGAGCAGCATTTCTGCTGCAGATAATTGCCCACATGGCGTTGCAGTGTTTACACCTGCCTGATAGATGGGGCCGAATGTGTTTTCTCAGCTATAGGTGGTAGCAGGGAGGGGATATTTCAATAAAAGTGTGAATAAATTAGAATTGATTACAAATAGAGCTATATTTTTATGCTGCCTAAAAAGGTATTAGCTGTGAACAAGGTGCACTTAATCGTTACGAAAGGAAGCCTGAAAGTTAATAAAACACACTGCTGGCCCTTACAGAGATGCCAGCTTTGGGTTAAATCTGTAGCTATTTTAGCTTTAAAGCCCCAACTGTCATTTTAAAGGCATATGCATTTTGGATTTTAACACGTTTGAATGATGCAGCTGAGGCCCAGGCCAAGCCGACCCTAAAATTGGCAGTAAAATGGTACCTCCGTGCAAGCGTGCAGAATGAAGGAATACGGGAATGTGCACAATAAGCATGTGCCCCCTCTCCCTGGCAGTCTTCTAACGTGGAAACCAGGAGCTTTCTGGAAATAAATACCCACCAAGCAAAGCAGAGGACTCCTCTCAAAGCTTTTGTGCAGTAAATGTTCAGGAAGATTAACTGCCAGCAGTAAAGGAAAGGAAAGTGCCAGAAGGAGTGTGACACCGAAGCAGCACAAGTGAGGAAGAAGAGCCTGGCCAGCCGCCTGCACAGTGCCCTGCAGTGCCGGTCTTCACTGCGATTCCTCAGCTGCAAGTGGAGCCTGAAAATCCTCTGTATCGAGGTAAAACCGGAGCGTCTGGATAGGCAGGGAATGCAGAGCTGTCCCCACAAGCTGGCAGCTCTGGGTTTGCAGAAACCACAGTGATACAGGCTGGAACACCGTAACAAATCTCCCTGCCATCTTCAGATGTTACTGGCTAATGGAAATAAATAATTCTGAAAACAGATGTAACCCCCATTGCCAAGGGAGAAGAAGAAGAGGAGCTCTGGAAGAACCTCTTCTAAACACTTGGCTATTTTCTCTGTAACTTAATGCCCCTCCGCCAGTTGCTAGTGGGGTTACAATACTTCATTGCCTCCCAGAGGTCTTGTTGAGATTAGTCAGTGAAGATGGTGGAGAAATCAAGCCCGTCATTGATGCAATACTGGTATTTGCAACAGATGCCAGATCAGTACTTAATGTACAAGTGTCCTGCTGTACCTGAGAGGGTGTTCCTGGATGTCTGCTCCAGCTCCCATTTCTCTCCTGGACAAGAAGGAGAAATTTCAAGTTTTTTAACTCAGATACTTACCTTTAATCGTAGAGATGATCTGACTGACTTCACTGAAAGCATTTCAAGTGAGAGTTAAGGGAATCACACAGGTGCTTTCAGGTGAAATGTGTTTGCTTCCTATGTGGGAAAAAAATGCCAATCGTATATAAGTAATTTTCCCTCCCTGACAAAACATCAGCCATGCTCAACCCACGCGGGGCTGAATGGGAAAGAGTCTGAAACTGAGGGTTGCCCGGACTCCTTCTGTCCCCGCCATGTGGGCTGGAGCTTCATCCACCAAGTGATGTTTTTGTGGCCAAGGTCTCCTCCGAATGCTGCCTGACAGTCCGAGAAAAACATGAAATGGTCTCTGCTGCAAACTCAGCTCTGAAGTACTGTCTGGTACATGTAAGCGATTTCCTCTCCAACCGATGCTTCAAATTACAAAGCTGTGCTTGCAGCTTGGCAGAGATGTTTATGTGGCTGGCTACACGAGCTGTGTGAAGGGCGTTCCTGAACTTGTATTTGAACATCCTGGGCTCTCTTCTGTCTTTCAGCTAAGGCAGGGTGCCCCCGTTGCTCTGCGTGCTACCCACAAACTAGTAGAACTAAAATTAGCACGTTGTGTTTAAAGATTTCAAATAGGTGCTTGATTCTGGAGTGGTTGCTGAGGGGGATTAAACTGGAAACCAGTCCCTTAGCCCTGCTCTCAAAGATCATGTCGAGTCACCTTAAAACATTTGGGTTGAAATTGCGGAGAAATTTGTTCGTGAGAAGAATCTCTGGTGCCATTCATTGCTTCAGCAGCTCTCGATGGATATTGCATTACTCCGGGTCTGGTCCTGTTGTATTTGTGGGTTCTCCCTGAAGTGAGTGGAAATTTTGTGCCCATACATCAAGGTTAGGATGAGGCTCTCTGTGTATGTGTGATGTAGATAAATTGCTTGATGACCATGAACCGTGCTATTCCAGAGCTCAGCAATAAATCACACGTTAGGCTTTTAAACACACGAATGGGAGCAAGACACTAACTGGTTTTCAGGTGGGAAATGGTCAACAAAATCCTTTTCTTTCTTTTTTCCTTTGTAAATCTATCCTGATATCAGCAAATTAGATATGAAAGAAAAGATACCCGATATAAGATGTCACTGGCATATGGAGAACTCACTTGCGCTGGCTTCGTTCTCTGCTTTTCTTTGTGTCTGGTCCTGCCATTGACGTTTTGTGGATATTTTTGCATTTCAGGGTATTAACAGGATTTTACTTTTTTAGCTAGCTAATGATGAGGGGCTTCTGAGTGTTGTATTCTAGCCCTCTGGGGTATTCTATTTTTGGTATTTATTAACATTTTTTGTCATACAATGTACAGTGAAAGTGATGAGCCTCAGACCTCTTGGTATGTAAAAATGGAGTGCATAAAAATGGCAACTTTTTTTTATTATTTTGGTATTCCAGTTTCCTAATGTTTTCCCCAGTGTGCTTTGTCACTGCTGGCTGGTGAGCTGGGACATGGCTGCCAGTCAATATCCCACACAGAGAAAAAGAAATTGCTGCCACTCAGATGGAATATGTATATATGTATTTTAACCAAAGTCGAGATACAATTTAAAAAAAAAAAGGACTTCAAAGTCTGTTTTCTAGTCTTAATTAATGCAACGAGGGTTTTTATTTTACTTTCAGTGCAGATAATCTTAATCCATTCACAGTGACCTTTTCTTGTGCAAATTAGCTATACACGCTTGTTTAAGCAAATGGGCCTTTGCAAGATGTCTTTTCCTAAAGACGGAGCTTATAATTGAAAATTGGCTTACTCCCATCTGTCTGGCCTGTGTGAGAATACAAACGTAGATCCGGATTTTTTGATGTAGAAAATATGATCATATACATATGTATATACATACACATATACACGCATACAAAAAAATTGCTCTGCCTGCAGGCTGTGGTTAAATTAGATTATTAGTGTTAGCAAATGTCAGTGCCACAAGTTACTGTCAAAATAACATCTGTCTGCAGAGTCCAGGACACTCTGGAGAACAGAGGGTGTTTAATCTGAATCCTTTTGTCTCAAACAGGTCAATGCCATTCACAGTTCTATGGGTTTGCCAGAAGTACAATTAGCTAATAACAGGCTGGAAACTGTTGGGATTTGATGTGTGGTTTTGGTGAACAGTTTTGAAGTGATTGATGGAATCAGAAAAAAAAAACAGGAGTGTCTATAAGCACTTAAAGTTTTAATTCAGAGGAGCAGGGGTCATTGCAGCTATGTGGTTAATTGCCAAAATTTGGCAGTTTATCCCCCTCACCGCACTTGACAATAACCACCAAGTGAGTCATTGTAAACCCCCCACCACCTATCCCTTTTTTAGTGCCTGCTTGATAAGGGCAGATTTCTTTGGCATAGTTTGAGTATTTTTTGCTTTGTACAAACCTCTTGAGCAGAAATGAGCACAGTTGTGCATGACTTTGACTAAATCTGAATAGAAATCGGGGTCACAGAACTACTGCGACAATGCTTTGGGTATCGAAGTATTTAATACAAGTTTGTTATTAGAACGCATGCACACCTATTTATACAGAAATCGCTGATTATTACAAAGACAAAATTGCTTCCTTCCTTCTCAGTTTCATGACTACTCTCCCCAGCTCTCTCCCATGGCGGACATGCGTGCACGGAGGGAGCTAGTTAACCTGGTGGTGAGCGGTCTTTCTCGGGAGTGATTTTCTCCAGATGTGTCTCAACAGCTGTTAGCATTTTCACGCCCGGTTACTCTAGGACTCATCGCTAATTGAATTTTCTCTTTTCTCCCCTGTTCTTTTTAGGTATGATTACCGTGAAATGCTGCACAATGCCACTTTCTGTCTGGTTCCCCGTGGCCGCAGGCTTGGCTCTTTCAGGTTTCTGGAAGCCTTGCAGGTAAGAGCTGCAGTTTAAAGCATCGGCTACACTGGCTTCAATTCAGCATGCAAGGAGGTGGGGAGGAGGGAAATGTGTTTCATTTCCCTAGTGGACAGTAATCCACTTTGCGAAAGCCTCTATTCATACTTCTGGAGCAATTGGCAGCTTCTTCCCAGGAGGGGCTGAGCACTGAGCTCATCTGAAAGTTGAATTGCGTTACCTCCAGGAAGAGGGTTTCCCTGGATGCGGTGAGGCTGAGAGGATGGACTGGTTTAGAGCAGTATTTTTGGAAGCTGTGAGACTTCCCATGGGAGACACTGGCCTCTACAAGGAAGCCCCAGGGCAGTAAAAATAACTTTTCACTTAGCCAAAACAGACCTGCTTATGCATTGCCTGTCTTGAGATGGTGCTTGGTGAACGTGCAAGCCTGGAGGTTATAAAGCCCCAGATGGAAGCTTCACAGGAAGGTGGATATAAGCTGATCTCAGGGAGCTCACAGTGTGTCTGGGACAGCACTTGAATCCCATTCACCTTTTTAAAAGATTTTGGGTGATGGTCTTCCTTTTTTGATGTTGGCCAGCAGCAGAGGACAATGCAAAATGGCTCCTGAGTCACTGTGGCAGTGAGGCTTGGCAGCACAGTGATCAAGCCTGACTGACCTACTCCTGCTGCAGCTGGCATGACCTTGGTTTTGGCAAGCATCAGCTCAGCCCTGGGGTCCTGGATCTTCAATCAGCCGTACGGAGCATCTTGGGAGATGCTGCAGTTCCCCTCTAGGACTGGCATTTGGATTTCCATGGGGGCTGTAGTGGAGGGAAGGGGAGGCTGAAGCTCTTCTTGATGTCAGTGAGATGGCAAATGAAGACACCTTACAGGGTCCTGGCTCCAGGTGTCTTTTTGCCATTTGGGAGGTGTCCCAGCATTGGCAGTAAAGCTGTTAATGAATAGCATCACATCACTTTTCTTCATCAACCACAAAACGTCCCAGCCACTGTTAAAAAGTATTGTTTACTGCAGTGCAGAGCAGGATACAGGTACCTCAGTGTAGGTGTATAATGTCGTTTTACAGTCCCAGGGATACCCTTCTGGCTTTCTACTGCTTCTCCAGAAGGTCTCCAGTAGATCAGAAGATCTCCAGTAGATCCTGTGTCACATCTGCCAGCCTTTGATGGGTTTCTTGGATACCCTAGAGCATCCCAAATGCACTGGACACTTCAATTTTACCACTGTACCCCACACCTGCTGTCACATTTGAGATCCAAATTCTGGACTGTCACTTACCTCTTCGTTCGAAGATTAATAGCCTGCAAAGTACTGTCCCCTCTCCAGCCTCTTCAGAGGAAGGAGTGGGACTGACTTATCTGAGGTGACAAGTCACTTCAGATCCTCCTGAAGAGCACTGCTCAGCTCTTCTCTCGTCTGGCCCACAAGTCATGCAGTTTCTGTTAGATCCATTGTCTCAGGAGAAGAAAGCAGGGAGTGTACCTCACTGTACAGAACTTGGAGGCTCCAGGTCAATGGTGATAAAATGCAGGCACTGAGGATTTTCCTAGCAGGCTAGCAGCAGTATTCACCAATTATGATGAATTCCCAATTTCTTGTCTGGCTCCAGGGCATGTTGAAAGACGTAGTCCACATCAGTGGAATGTTTTAAACATGAAAACACGTAAGTGTTTTCTGGTTGGCTTTTTTCGTGCATTAATGTAATTTCCTTACAGAAGGTCACAGTTCTTCACACATTATAAGCACTGCTGTAATGCAGAGACTTGACCAGTCTACGTACCTGTATGTAATACAGGTTACCAAGGAAGGTACAGCAGGCTGAAAGGTTCCCCTTTGTACTAACTTCTGGGAGGTGTGGGGAGGTCTGAACCCTAGTCTGGACTAAATTCAGAGCACCTAAGCTTGGTTCGATCCAAAAGAAACTGAGCCAGACCGCAGGCTCAATGCAGATCCTCTGGTGACAGGTTCTTTGATCAGATAGGATGTTTTGCGTTTGGATCTTACGTTATGATCCAGCTGACCAGAATGTAGTGGCCATCGTTTGCTTACAGAAATACTGCCCTCTTTACTGAATATTCACAAACTGGCTGTCTGCAGAGGAACTTGCGCAACTTATAAAAGATTAAATAATTTAGACAGATCATACTGGAATGAAATAGATACTGAATGTGTATGGGTTTTGTTTGTTTTAAGACAGAAAGCAGTTCTTATTTTCGTAGACAGGTGATGACAGATGAGTTGTGTTTGTGGAGTTGCCTCTGTTTGGAGAGTTCTTATCAACCAGGATAGGGAATTCACTCCTCCTTTGTGGAAAAAGTGCTCTGGAGTTAAACATGATCTATATTTTCCGTAGGACTGTCTTGCAACATATTATAAAAATAGAGGGTTAGCCCCCTGCTGAATGGTTCACAAAGCAGTGAGGGAGGCCATCATTTTGTATTAACTTCTCCAGTGTTACATCTGCAGTATTTTAACGGTTCTGCCCTCGTCTGGCAGCCTGAGCACCAGATTTCAAATGCCACTCTCTGTGCAAACCCCACCTTTCTGTGAATACAAGTAAGCACAAAATGGAAAACCATAAACATCCCGTGGCCTATGGCTTCTGGTGTTCTTTGCCATGTTGCCTCTCCTTCTGAGCTTGCACAGAAAACAGCGGTCATGGTGTCGGTGCCAACCTCAGAGCTTGCCCTAATCATCAGGTACCCACTAATGACTGCGATGCCTCTGTGTGCGTGCAGGCTGCCTGCGTCCCGGTTATGCTCAGCAATGGATGGGAGTTGCCGTTCTCGGAAGTGATTGATTGGAACCAAGCTGCCATCATAGGCGATGAGAGATTGTTATTACAGGTAAGAAAAAGACGGTGGCCTTCAGCGGATCAGTTGATTATTGCTGCCGCCATCTAAATGGATGGGGAAGATGAATCCAAAAGGTCAGGGCTGTAAAAGAATTTTTATCATGAAGGGATTGTCTGTGTCGCACCGGCTATGGACTCGTTTAATATGACATCATTCATTTTTTGACCTGAAGGTCATTGCAGCCACCAGGCCACATTCTTAAATGCAGGAGACTCTTATTTTTCCTAAGAGCATGAAACCTCCTCTGGTGTGGAGTGCCTGGATGCCTCTCTGAGGCAGAGCTGTCCTGGACCAAGTGCTGTGATGAGAAAGAAAATATTTGAAGGCAGGTTCTGCCCTAGTCCTTCAGAAATACTTTATCCTCAGGGGTCCCACCAGCACTGTGTGTCTGGCTGGCAGGTGCTGAAGGGACTCCTCAGCAAAGCAGATATTTTCTCAGGCAGGAGTTACCACCTAACAGTTTTGTGGGAAGCAGATTCTGTCCCTTTTCTGACGTCTGGACCATGTAACATTGCTTTCTGAGGCAGTGTTTATGTCACTTATTGTTAATCTCCTTGAGATCATGGAACAAAAGCAGGCTGAGAAGTTAGAAGTTCCCTGCTACCTTCAGCATCTATTTTGGTCTTAAATTCACTAGGGTTTTTTTTCTGCTTCCTTAGTGGGTTTTATACTCTAAATACATTCTCTAAAATGTGTGGAGAAGTTGATGTTAGGAAAAGATTTTAAAAATTGGTTTCCCCAAAGTAGCATTCAATAAAACGCCATTGCCCAGGATGAAGCTGGGATCCATGAGATCTGGAATAGCCACTGAGTGGCCACTAAGAGGGTTCTTTTTTTATGGTTGATTTTAACTCATTTCCAAAGTGGCAAGCTGTTGTCATCCATGGAGAGGAGCCTTCAAAGGTACAGGTGTCTTGGCATCCCAAAAATGAATTAACTTTGAAAATCTCATTAGATAGATATTTACTTGTCTGAAGAAGTAAATATTTGTGAAGAGCTAGCCTAGCAAGCCTTGCAAAGCGCTGCCTGTTCTCCTTAGTGTAATACAAGCTGCAAATGTAAAAGGGCCATTTGATTTTTGCTTCTGTGGACAGCGCATTTTTCTGAGCAAAATTATTTCTCTCTTTAAATAATAATAATTTGCTGATCTTCGTGCTTTCCGGTAACATGCCATTTGTTCTCTTCACAGCTGCTTCCATCTTGAACAGCTACTGCACCGTTATTAACAGTGTTTTTAAAGAGCTGGCAGAGGGCCTGAATGTCTGCTCTGGGAAATGTTTTTGTTATGTTACAGTTTTTCATTTCCTGTTTGAGAGCAGCTCGGTTGTTTTTATTTGCATATTCTCCTCCTCATAGCGCTGGGAGAGCTTAATCCAGCCTTTCTGCATTTATTTGTGCAGGGTGGTTTTTCCCTTCCCCCTACTTATTACTGAAATGACCTTTTATTAAGACGTCATCCTGTTCTAATAATTCCAGTGTAATCCTGCCAGATTAGTATTAATACATCATTTCCCCCACCTGTCTTTCTGGACAAGTACATTAATAACTAATAGGCAAATGCAGTTAAAATGGGAGCTCTGATTTTTCTTTCCAGCTGTTGTAATGGAGCAGGCACCAAGGCTTTTTTGTAACCTTGGCACTGTGTTTGCAGGCACTTGCAAGCATGGTGTGGTCTGTGAAATCATCACTTCTTGCAGTAACCTTCACAGTCAGAGCAGCCTTCCCTTTCAAAAGGCATAGTGGCGAATGAGTATTGATTTTATTTGTTGCTCACACACGTACGCACACACACACAAGGTTGCATGTAACACAATGAAATGTTTAAGTTCATTGAAAAATGCCGTATCACCGCTGTGAAGGGACTTTGGTGTTGTGTTGTGTTGTCTTTGCTGCTGATAATGGCCCCAGGTGTGATTAATACACATCTGTGTACAGCCAGTACAGGTAACGTTCATTATCCCTCTAGTTATTAGAACATACTGGAAAAGTAATGAAAAGAATGAATATTCACCCCAAAAGATGAAATTTGATGCAGTTGTTTACTGCGTCACATCACAGACAGTGACATGATCAGTTAGAAAAACATGTACTAATACATGTTTTTGGCTTCTATCTTTTGTACTAGTTTTGCAGGGAGTATTTTACCTAAAGACCTATATTTTACCTCAAGGGGCTATAGCAAAGGAACATAAAGTGCCATCTTCAACAGCCTGCCCATTTTCTTCTGTTCGACCTTGCTGTAGTGCTAACTCTCTCGTAATCTCAAAATCTGTGTTACAGTTAGCAGTGTCACTAAGATGAAGGTCTAAGAGACGAAGGGCTTAGAGAGTAGAGATTGTCCCATCTGACACTGCACCCCGTGGAGCCGTGGTCCTTTTGGATGCAGTGTCCAGACCTGGATGCAAATAATGCCGTAAAGAATTTACTGATTCTTGTGGAAATTTTTTATGTATATATTCTTAAAATCTGAAGTTTCCTTCAGGAAAATGTTCCATGTGAAATCATTTGATTCGGAAGCATGTGAAAGCCTATAATGATCACTACCACCTCTCAGAATATTTTGGGAATAGGCAAAGTGCATTCTGGTCAGGAAAGGGCGGGATGTGGCGGGGAGGCAGGTAAACTTCAGAATAAGCTGGGATGTGCAAAAAGCAACACACAGCCCAGGTATATGCTTTTACAACTAGCGACTTAGGTAAAAGATTTATGGGAAATGGGCATCTGAGAATGAGGTGGTCTAATTTGAAATCACAAAAAAAGCAGGCACAACAGCACAACTCTTCGTTCCTAGAAAAAATGAACACAAATCAGCAACGTATCCTAAATGCCTTTCTGGTGCTGTGAGTAGCCATTGTAATTGAAGCAAATTGCTTTTAAATTTCCTTGATAATGTCAGTTTGCATTGCCAAAGTGGTGTACTGGAGGCCTTGGTCAATGTCTTGAATTAAAGAGTGACACATACGTACATTGGTTTCCCTCCAGTGTGGAAGAGGGATGTGGCCGTGGGGGAAGATGTAGAAGTGAAGCCCTCCCCTTCTGATCCAGTGAGCAGTTGTGGTTTTTAATGGCAAAGCATTGCAGCAGGACAATTTGGGTTTTATTTGTAAGGCAACTTATACCAGAATTAATGTGTGGAGAGGGGAAAAAAAGCAGCAGTGTTTTCCCTTGTGAATAACAGGTGGTGTAGGAGAAGTTATTCTTTCCACCCACAGTAATTTGTAAAATGCAATTTGATCCACAGGCTCCCGAAAAGTGGAGTCTTACTTAAGATATTGCCACATTTTCCTTAAGATAGTTAGTGTTGCCATGCAGCAGTAAATGCAATTCCAGATCCCTTTAATATACTTTGAGAGTGGGTATTGTAGTTGGAGTCTCAAGACCCGCAGGTAGTATTTTGTTAAAATACTAGTCCATTAAAAGCTTTCTACGTGAGGGATGTATGGAGGAGCTCGTTATTGTGCCATGCCACAGCGCTGGGAAGAGGGAGCTTTTGTTACCATAAAACAACCAAAAACTAAAAGGAAGCAGATAAAAAAAAAAAAATTCATACATTCAGTACCAAAGATTATAAAGGGTTGTGTCTCATTCATTTTGCATCAAGGCTTTAACTGTTGACACGCGTGTCTCTGTCGGACAGGAGTGCTGAAGCCGTACAGCTTGCTAATAGAGGAGAGGGCTTGTCAGCAGCGTATTAATTTGATGAGATTGCATTGTTTTCTGAAGCTTCTGACTATATTACATCTTGTATTACAGATTCCTTCTACAATCAGGTCTATCCATCAGGATAAAATCCTAGCACTTAGACAGCAGACACAGTTCTTGTGGGAGGCTTATTTTTCTTCAGTTGAGAAGATTGTATTGACTACACTAGAGGTGAGTAAAAATGGTCTGGGACCTTGCCGAGCAGCGAGGCTTCCGTACCTGTCCAGCTGCTCCTGTCCTCAGACAGCATCGGACCTTAGTTTTCATGGCATGCAATTGGTCACTGGGAAAAAAGCTCAGCATCTTGATAAGTTTTCTCCCCTAAGGAAATACTTTCTTCATTATCGGAATCCACATTAGAAAACTGACACGGTGAAAAATGGGAGCTACCCAACACATGGAAAAGTTGTCATGTGTGATCTTGCCTTCGCAAAGTTTTACGTCTTATGAATCACTATCCTTGTCATTGGTAGTGAATGTGTTTCTTTAAGAAACCTTTCTGGAATTCATTTGGAAAAAATACTACTGTAGAGCTCCTCCTCAACCATTCCTTAATGTTTTGATGCCTTGTGATGGGGCTCTTTATTGGTCTGGCTCAAGGAAAAGGGGGGGCTTGTAAATCACTGTATTTTTTCCTCATACACAGGATAAGGGAAAGGCCTGATCATCCTTATCATATATTAATAAATAATCATAATTAGACTGCTATTAAACAGTAAGACAGATGATCTCAAATGTGGAGAGAATCCTTTCTGAATTCAGAGACGGAGGAGAGATGAAAGGCTCTTTAGAAGTAGGGCCCAGGCTACAATTTCAAAAGCAGGTTTCTCTTCTAATTGTTTAGCAGTTTTGGACATAAATTTTTGACACACTTTTACCACTGCAAGTGGCTTACTTTGTAGGTGCAAATGCGTTCGTTTTATGCTAATGCTTCTGCAATTGCATCCGTCTTTGTGCACAGTTGTAAAGCTCCACATTTCCCGCTGTGCCTGCTTTCCCCTGAAAACTGCAAATGAGTGCTGCTGCCTGCAGTACAGGTTGCCCGTGGCTGATCTACCTCCAGCTGCTGCAAGACAGTCCCTTAGGTTTTTCTGTGCCAGTGAAGAAAACCAGCCAGGGAACGTTTTCAGAGCCCCTGGCATAGCTATCCTCGTAACACTCTCCTTGCCCTCGGAAGAGCATGTCTTCATCTGTGCTGCCTGTTGGGAGCTGCTCTGCGTCTCAGACTCCCTGTAAGCACTGACGAGGTAGTGATAATTATCACAGCCCACGCCAGGATCAGACTCACAAAGCTGGAAGACCGTGTTCCAGTGCTCGCAGTACCCTTGCAGAAGTACTCGTAGGGACAATCAGGGAGCCTCATGTATCATCCGCCCCTTCCCTGCATGCACCCCGATATTGTTAGGGATTGCTAAAAGGAGAGGGGCGCACGGCTCTCCTCGCTGCCCCTCTCCTGCCTGTGCTGGGGCTGGTCTCGAGGGGACATCACCTGCAGCCCCCACGGCCTTGGTGTCCATTGCATCAAGCTCCAGTGCTCACAGATGTGTCTTTAGCACTGCCCTGGGCCACGTTGGCCCGTGTGGCCGCAGGTGCCCAGGGGACAGCAAAACCCGTAATAAAGCTGAAGCAGCTGGGCAACCAGCGAGCGGGAGTTTCTGCTTGGAGGGGAAAAACTAAAGTGGAAACAAAAGTCTTCCTGGAAGGTTTAATTTAATGAAACCAAGTAATGTATGCCTGGTGTTGATGTTCTGGGTTTTTTCATTTCTTTGTGAGGGTGGTTTTGGTTTGAGGGGTTTTTTGTTTATTTTTTAATTCAGGACTCTCAAGACAGCTACAAGGGATTCTGTTCTTATGCACAGATACTCGTTTCATATTTCAACTTGCCTAAGTCCTCAGTTAACTTTCCTTAGGAAAGGAATAGAACAGTTGAGGGTGATTTTTTGGTGTGTGAAATCTGCGAACAGTATATACTCTTAAAATCTGATGCCTGGAAGTAAACTGCTAGCAGGATTGTTTTTTTCTGGTGGATGTTAGCCATCTTCTCTTGTAACACTGTTGTGTGAGAGTGCTCTGATGATGCTAGATAGCATCAGGATAATCACTTGCCTGCTGACTCCAGTGCTCGTACATGTCCACGTATGAGGATATCAGTACAGAAGAAGTCTTCACCAACTCAGATGTCTGCAAGGACATCACAGGTCTCCTCTGCCCTTTGTCCTGGACACCTCTGAAAATGTTCAGTCACATTTTAAAGTCCTTGATCTTCTCACAGCATTTGGTGGCCTAAGCCAAACAGCTCGTAGCCCAAAATAAGAGGCTTGAATCATTTGGCTGATGACCCCATGTTGCAGGCACAGAGGAACTGCTGTGAACATGGTGTGGGTTAGGAAACAATGCTCATGAGTGTCTGCTGCAGGCTGGTGAGTGGGAGCACTGGCAGCGCAGCAGTGGATTGCTGCAAACGCCGTCCGGACGCATGCTCCAGTGTATCTGCACTTTTTGAGCTTGGTCTTCTCTGAAATCAGATCCAAAACATCCCTGAATCCCTGTGTGGTGTGCTCAGTGCTCTGCTTGGGAAGAGGAGGGGAGAGGGACAGCACAACGTACAGACAAGAGATGTTTGATGCTCGGCTGGGGCATGTTGAGAATCAGCAATGATTAAGGCAATATGTGAACTTTTTGAAGTGTGGGGATGAGGGAGGCAAAAATATTGGACTATTAATGAATTCCAAAAAGAAAAGGGAGATCTCTCCAGAGATCCTGACCCCTTCCTTCTCTTATTAAACTTCCTGTCACGCCTCATCGTTGGAGAGACCATGTAGCTGCTGTCTGTCTCTGCAATGTGTGCAATGCTATACACTCTGCATTTTAATTGATTGGTCCTCCATGTTATCTTTTTTTATACTTTTCTGTTCTCTTTCTGCCAAGTTGTCTTTTCTCCTCTCTATCATGATAGACAGCTATGTTTCCTATGTAGACCAGGAGTGTGATAAATTAATCTTCTGTTTGTTAACTGTGATAAATCGCCGAGGCCAGCTCCCCAGCCTGGTGCAGGATGGCGCTGGTGAGATTTGTGTGCCTGACATGCGTGGGAGGCTGCGTGTGCTGCATGGCACCAGGGGCCTGCTCCGTGTTAGAGCTGCGCTCGCTCCGGGTGTGCTGAGGTAGCGTTGAATGTGAGCCATGTGTTTCCCCTGCAGCCTTGTTGGCTACCAGCGTGGTGGAAAACTCCACCGTCTGTGAAAACCTCCTGACCGTGTAAATTCTCAGACTTCTCCTTATCTGATTATGCCCCAGTTCTGAGAAAGCAGGAGGAAGGAGCTGTAATATTTAGGCTTTGTGGTAAACACTCAAAAATACGTACTTTCTGGTTTCTGTCGTCGTTTAGTGGCGTAACTTGCAGATGGAGAAACAGCAGTCATTGTCTTTTTTTTCCTCTCCCCACTGCCATGCAGGAGGTCTGACAAATGATACACCTAACTTTCCAGACAGAAATGTTCAGATACGCTTTTGTCAGCGATGGAAATACAGTCCTAAGTCTGTTATTCTGAGATCAAAAAAAAAAAAAAAAGATTAAACTAGCTTACTCATGTGAGCGAATTACTGCATATTAGCTATGGTAATTGGCTGTAGGCAAAATTCAGAGAAGCATGCAAACACCTACCATTTGCCCCAGTTCAGCAGTACGTATATTGCCACCAGCAGTGGATTGTCTAGCACAATGTAACTGGAGTTTTAATGTTTTTTTGTCATGGCAATCAACAATTCCAGGAAAACCACTGCTTGTGGCAACATTTATTCATGTTCTGTATTGACCAAATGTCCCTGAACTCAGCTGCTTACAGAGATTTCAGCTTGTTTAGACTCCAGCAGCTGCTTTTATTCAGCTTGCGTTGGGTCTTTTTGCTTGTTTTTTTTGTTTTCGTATGCTGTGGGTACATACCTTCTTTAGTTCCATGGATTTTAAGATGATCAGATCTGATTTAGTCCAACTTCAGAGCCGTAGAATTTCACCCAGATACGTCTATGTTAAGGCCAGAGACATTAGGTTGGGACAACCAACGTGTTCTTGGCACTTGAGCCCTGTGCACTGCATAAACTGCCACTTACAGGAACTCTCCTTAGGAGATCGCAGAAGGTGAGCTGCAGAAGAGGCAAGGCAATCCTGCTTAGCCAACTTAGGGGAGAATTCTTTCTTCACCACCCCCTGGCCCTTTGCAATGTCCCGTCTCCAGAGCTGCCAACCTCTGATGCTCTGAGGGCAGGCAAATCTGTAAGAACATGTGGCCCAACAGCGGACTGCGCTTAGAAAGGCTGAATTTGTCCAGTTACAGCTTCCCACCACTGAATCTTGTTACGCCTTTGCAGCAAGTTTGAAAAAGGTCCCATCACTGTAAGAACCGCTATGGTTCTTGTGTACAGGCATCTGATGTGGAGTATCTGTGATTAGTTATGTAAATACATATTAATTGTACAGCCTTGTATCTTTTTTTGTGCTTGTGGTATTCTAGACAATAAAGTAGATGACGTAGCAATCTGTTCGGATTTTAAAAATCCAGGAATCTTATATTTGTGGCCCTCTACAGAGACAGATAGTAGTTGCCAAAAGATCTTTTTCTGTTTCATCCAACAAGGAACTGTTACAGAACTGAAACAGAGAATCAGTGATGTATCTGAATGCTAATATCCTTTATAATTAAGCAAAAATGAATAATTAGTGCAGCCTGATTTGCTGATAGTCTTTGTGGGTTTGAATGCTCTCATTACCTCAAAATAATACCTAGCTTTGTAATGCCATCTTCAAATAATTATCTTCTGTGAGTTCTGGATAGTAAAACTGACAATGAACTAATCAGGCTTACAACTGCTAAGATACTGTAATAGACAAAATATTTGACTTGAAATACAAAATGCAATGAATTGCAAGGTCCCCATGTCCAGAGAGACTAATGAGGTGCTCTGAAACCTATTGCACAAAGGCTGAGCTGCTGAAGTGGTGTCAAAGTGTA